GTTAAAGCCAGATGTCAGCATAAACTACAAATCGTTTACTGTCTGAAAGGCAGCTTAAAGGCAATTTTCTCATTTTGTAAACTGTCATTCACACAATACACACATTGTTTTAACGGGTTACTGTAGCAACAAAATCCTTAACCCATTATGTGCATTGACACATTGACAATTAATACTTTTTACCATTTTAAACTGTGTTTTTTGTTTGTTTCCAAAGAGGGTAGTTCCATAGTAACCCAACCCCAACATCCAGATACATGTGGAACTTGATGTATTCCCCATTTGATGTCACCACTGTAGTTAAAGCCACAAATTGCTTACTGTCTGAAAGGCAGCTTAAAGGCAATTTTCTCATTTTGTAAACTGACAATACACACATTGTTTTAACCCTTTAAAGCCTGATCCAAGAATAAAACAAAACAGAAAATAGCTTTTTTTTTGTTTGAATTAGTTATTTGGCCTTTTAACAAAATAGGTAAAAAGAAAAAACAGAAATACATTTTTGATATGAATAATTTATTACTATGCGATAAGTCCAGATTATTTTTTGTGTAGTCTTCTGCCCCCTGTTATCAGGTGTATCTGATTGTGTACAATAGGATTTTGAGCAAAGTTTTTACCATTAAATTATGCAAAAGGAGTCAGACGCAAAACATTTCAGAAACCGTATCAAATATGATACATTTGGCATTACAGGGATAAGATTCTCCATGTTTACACTAAAGTGTTTCATAGCTTCTTTCAGTCTGTGGTGGACAGTAAATATAAAGAAGAGTTCCTCCTTTCATTGGCAATGACTGTATTTACTGATTGCTTGATTTTCCACTGCTACAAAACGTTAATTAATGAATATATCACCACCTGCATTCATTAAATATTGTGGATTTTTTTTAAACCTATGTTTTTCCTATCATGCAATACAGGAAGCAAACTTTTTACCCATTAATCCATCAATTTATTTCCAAAAAGACTTTATCCAATGCAGGGTCAGCAGCGATTCAATGGCTTTATAGTTAAACCAAATATAAATCTATCTACCTGTGAACTTCTCTCAGGCAACTGTTTTTGCTCTTTATTTATAAGAATTTAAGATATTAAAAGAGTACAAGGCCAGCCTTTGGCAGTTGGACCCATGCGTTTAAATCATTGCCTGCTCGTGTTTAGTGAAGTTATTTTTTAACTTAAAAACAAACTGCTAATAAGTCACAAGCTGCTTTATAGTTCGATAAAATATCTATTTACTTGTAAGAGTGAACTTCTCTCAGCCAACTGTTTTTGCTCTTTATTTATAAGAATTTAGGACATTAAAAGCCTTTGGCAGTTGGATCCATTGGGTTTAAATCATTGCCTGCTCGTGTTTAGTGAAGTTATTTTTTAACTTAAAAACAAACTGCTAATAAGTCACAGGCCGCTGATTTGCATGGATCTGAGTGAAGGGATTTCCCCCCCCCTCAGTTCCAGGAAACTGCAGGTGCCAAGATTATTATCACAGGAATCCAAAGCTAACTGTTGCACAACGTATGAAGCTTTCTACACAAAAAGATAAAACTAAAATATGTCTTATGTCAAAGAAGAGACAGAAAGAAAGTGACAATGGCAAATTGGCAAGCTACAGCTTACAGCTCATAGTTTATAGAATTATCTAAATGAAAGGAAAGTTTAGGTTCAAAGGTGTTTAAAGGTTTAAAGACTATGGCACCAGGCCAGAGACACCTGCGGGGAAATAGAAACTTAAACTAATGAAGACCAAAGTCTCACATGTGAGAGGAAGAGAAGGGGAGAGGTGCATCATGGGAGTTCCCCCCCAGAGGGAGGAGAGGTGCATCATGGGAGTCCAGAGAGAGGAGAGGTGCATCATGGGAGCCCTCCAGAGGGAGGAGAGGTGCATGATGGGAGTCCCCTTGCAGTCTGGGCCTATAGAGGGGGGAGAGGTGCATTATGGGAGTACAGAGGGGGGAGAGGTGCATCATGGGAGCCCAGAGGGAGGAGAGGTGCATCATGGGAGCCCAGAGGGAGGAGAGGTGCATCATGGGAGGGGGGAGAGGTGCATCATGGGAGTACAGAGGGAGGAGAGGTGCATCATGGGAGTCCAGAGGGAGGAGAGGTG